TTGCAAATGAAAAAGATATTTTACATTCAAAAGGAAATTAAATGAAATTTTACCTATTCCTGATCCATTTATAAATTATTAGACTAACAAGAATAACAAAATGATAAAATAAAATTATTATTGCCATCATGCGTTAAACAAGTTCAATATTTGATGGTTTCTATTAATTTATGAAGTTATCACTTCTGTCTCGCACACCACTTTTTTTTTAGATCCAGCAATCTAAAAACATGAAAAAATGTAAACATCGCTTTTTTGTGTACTTGCTCCAAGTCAAGATATTTCACTTTGAAGCCTCTAGTGATTTTTGCCAACATCTTCATTGCAGTTAGCAGATAACCCCGAAAATTCCCAGAAAATGTTCGCAATCGGCAACATTATTAATCGTACGATCACCAAATCCACGATTTACGCTCATACCTGGGTTGGCTTTTAATAACTCGCCCACTTTATTGGCCAATAAATCGACGAAAAGTGATGAGGTCCTCAGGTTTTACTGCACAATTTTCCATTATCAAGCGCAAATGATCAAAACTGATATTCTCTAATAATCGTTTACTGAATAGAAAGAATCAACCCAGCTACAGGTTTGGATGGGCAGATCAATCGGTTTTCGTGTATACCGAGTCCTCTACTCTTCCACCGGAAAGCAATTAGTCAATCATCCTCGAAGTCCATTTGCCTCGTCAATCCGTGTATTTTCACCACGCCTCGGGCGATTGTAAACAGAGAGGCACCATTAAAACCATTCCGAGTACAATTAAAAGCAACTTTTTTAATGGCTCGTCAGCTCTAAGTAATATTTAATAGCTTCGTTGCATGCGGAGGCGAGCTAATGGTCCAATGAAAACAGACAGAAAAAAGTGACGGACGGACCCAAACGTGGAACATATTCCCATATTCCATTCTCTCGATCATCGACCAAAAAAAGTTTGATAATTGCTCTCATTTTTGCAGCACATTATACAGGGCGAATGTACGGTTTTTTCACGTGCATAGTGAAGGCAGCTTTGCGTGTGTAAAGACACATTGTAATTGAACCATCCTGTATAAACAAATCTTGCATGTAAGAAAAATAACATTTACAATACGTGCAGTTGAAATTGATAGTCATTTGTTTGAGGCTTGGGTAACACTGTGTTGAGTGGTGCTTTTGAGGTGTTGCAGCTCTATGAGTTAATGAGTTATAACTCATCGGGTGAACACCAGGAAAACCTCAAGTCTCATTCAACATAACGCGCCTAAAGAGTTTTCACTTGAAAAACAAGATACGAATCTATGTATGGCATGGGCACTCTAGAATCAAACGAAGCTAATCAGCAATTAATAACACCGAAAGTACATGCTTGGAAAGAGTTGTTTGGGAAACTAGATCTAGCAGTTTGATCCCCCATCCGTTCTTAAAGCGCTCGGTTGAGGGTTGGGGTGGCACCCTAATATGTGCGCTGAGGAGGAAATTTACTCACCCATGGCCGTTGGGGAACCTGGTGGGGCCAGGCGAGGTAGAGGTAGTGTACGGGGGTGGCGTGCCCGGATGGGGCGCCGCCGCGGACGGAATGGCAGCAGGTTCGTAGTACTTCGTGTTCAGGGTGCGATCGTCGATTTTGAGCTCGGCATTATGAGCTTTGGACGCACTTTTGATGTCCATGAACGCCACCGTGCACGCCATCTGGACCTCGCCCGTCTTCTCCTCGGGTGTCCTTGGCAATAATTTAACACTCTGCACTCGGCCATATCTGGAAAAAACCATTTTTGCTATCAGCTGAGGCAAGTTTGGACTGGATCAAGGCAGCTAACGTGGATTTCGCCCTTTCAAGTTAAATAGTGGAGTGTCCCGAGGGACATCCGCATGTACAAAGTGGGCCACTAAGAGAGGTGATCGGCCGTATCTCACAAACTGTTAGTCGCATCGATTTCAAGTAAAAAAATATCTAAGTAAAGTGGCTCAGGGCAATGGCTGGAAATTACTTTCAAGTTTGCAAAATGGTCGCTAGAGGGCGAAATTGTAATTTGTTCTTTTGTTAAAATTGTGGACTTCAGATGGTCTACTTCAGATTTTAGCATAGGTAACCATGTATGACTTAAATTAAATGAACATGAAGCAACACAATTATTTTGATTTAGTAAAATTAGTGC